TAGGTTAGAGAAAACGCTAAGAAGATTAATAACTTTGGTTTTAAACTTTGGTATTTTGGTAAGAGTCGCACTAGAAATGGTGTAGGTGTAATTATAGATAAGAGTTTGAAAGATAATGTTGTAAAAATTAATAGAGTTGGAGATAGAATTATAACTCTTAAGATTATCATTGATACTAAGATTTTTAATATTATAAGTGCTTATGCTCCTCAAGTAGGTTTAGATATAGGGTCTAAAGATAAGGTCTGGAATGACTTAAACGACTTAATACAATTGATACCTCTAATTGATACCTCTTAAATTGATACCTCTTAAAGAAAGAATTTTTATTGGAGGGGATTTAAATGAACATGTTGTTAGAGTGGTAGAAGATTTTAGAAATATTCATGGTGGCTACGATTTTACAGTGAATAATGAAGAAGGTGGAATTATTTTAGATTTTGTTTTAGCATATGATTTTGTTATTATTAATATTTTATTCAAAAAATTCAAAAAAAGAGACGAGCATCTAGCATCTTATTACTTATAAGAATGGTTCTAATAAAACACAAACTGATTATTTTCTTATAAGAAGAAGAGATCGTCGAGATTGTAAAGTTTTTAAGGTCATTCCAAGTGAGGATTTAATTAACCAACATCGTTTATTAATTCTAGATTTGAAGATGAAGAGCTCTAAATTAAAGAATACTATGACTCAGCATCGTAAAATTAGATAGGGGAACTTAAAAAATAAATAAAATTATTTTTATGAGTAAAATTCAAGATTTTAAAATTTGGGATGTTCATGATGAAACAAATGATATGTAGGATAAAGTAACAAATATTATTAAATATGTAGCAAAAGATATACTTATAGAATCAAAAGAAAAAGTTTTTTAAAATAATAATAGTTGGTGATAGAATAATAATGTGCAAGAAAAGATAGAATATAAGAAGTTATGCAATAAAAATTGGTTTAAGTGTAAAATCTTAGAGAACTGAGAAAAATATCAAACGACCCGCAAAAAGTCTAAAAGAATAATATGTGACACTTAAAATTTTGTTTTTAATGATCTTTATAATATATTAGATACTAAGGAGAGTGAAAAATTTATGTATAAACTAGCCAAACAAAGTAAAAAAGAAAAGTAAAGATTTAACTCAAGTAAAGTGTATTAAAGATAAAAATCAAAAAGTGCTTTCCTTAGAAAAAGATATTCAACATAGACGGGTGAGTTATTTTGATAAATTTTTTAATGAATTTTCTGAAAATACGATCGACTTTAGTGATATTAATATGGTTAATAATAATAAAACGTTTCATTTTTATTGCCACATTAGTAAAAATGAAGTTGAGGAGGCTTTAAAGAAAATCAAGGGTGGAAAGTCTATACAACCCAATGATATCCCAATTGAAGTATGGAAATCTTTAGGAGATTTGGCAGTTTCTTGGCTTACTAAACTCTTTAATATTATTTTAAAAACTAAAAAGATATCTGAGGAGTGGAGGATGAGTATTTTGGTCCCATTTTTAAGAATAAAGGGGATGCACAAGAGTATGTAAATTATAGAAGAATTAAGTTGATGTGTCATACTTTAAAATTATGAGAGAGGGTAATTGAACATAAGTTAAGACGTATTACAAAGATTTCTCATAATCAATTTGGATTTATGTCGTGCAGGTCAACTATGAAAGCTATACATTTATTGAGAAGGTTGATGGAGAAGTTCAAAGAAAACAAGGAGAATCTACATTTGATTTTTATTGAGAAGGTTGATGGAGAAGTTCAGAGAAAATTTTGATTTATGTCGTGCAGGTCTACTATGGAAGCTATACATTTATTGAGAAGGTTAATGGAGAAGTTTAGAGAAAATAAGGAGAATCTACATTTGATTTTTATTGATTTAGAAAAAGCTTATGATAAAGTTCCAAGAGAAATCTTTTGGAGAGTTCTTGTGAAGAAAGGTGTTGATATGACTTATATTCAAGTCATTAAAGATGTGTATACTAGAATTGTTACTTGTGTTCGAACCGGAGGATTGACCAAAAATTTTCCTATTTCTGTTGGATTACATCAGGGATCGGCTTTAAGCCCATATCTTTTTGCTTTAGTTATGGATGGTCTTACTGGACATTTACAGGCGGATGTACCTTGGTGTAAGATTTTTGCTGATGATATCCTTCTCGTTGATAAGACGAGAAAAAGCCTAAGAAAAACTTGAATTATGGAGGTCTACATTGGAGTCTAAAGGCCTTCATTTGAGTAGAACTAAAACTGAATACATGGAATGTAATTTTAGTAGTAGTGGCTCTAGTGACAGAAGTGTAACTTTGGGTGATCAAATTATTAAAATGTGTGAACGATTTAGATATCTCGGGTCTGTTGTTCAAAGCGATGGTGATACAGATGGGGATGTTAACAGTACAATTCAAGTTGGTTGGTTGGAGTGGAGGAATGCTTCAGGCCTTTTGTGTGATAAAAAAGTACCGCTTAGATTGAAAGGAAAATTTCATAAGACGGTGGTGAGACCTGCAATGCTCTATGGCGCTGAATGTTGACATTTAAAAGAGAAGCATAATACTAAGTTAAGTGTTGCAGAGATGAGAATGATTAGCTGGATGAGTAGTTTTACACTTAGAGACAAAATCCGAAATGAATATATATGTGATAGGATTGGTGTAGCTCCTATGACAGACAAAATTAGAGAAAGTCGTCTTTAGATGGTTCGGTCACAATAAGCGTCGACCATCTGATGATCCGATTAGGAGAGTAGATGTTTTAGATTCGACTTATGTTAAGAAAGACAGAGATAGACCTAGGAATACTTGGGCTTATTGTATAAAAAATGATCTTAATTTATTAGAACTAGATGAAAATATGACACTAAATAAGACACAATGGACAAAGAGGATTCATGGCTTTGTTGTTGTTGTTGTATTTTAGCTGGTTATTTTGAATTTCTTGATTTTACAAATTGACCATTTGGTTGAAGTATTCAATCAACTCGACCTCATCAATGATTTTAACAAAATTTTTATATAAAAATTTGTTTGAATTTTGTCAGTTTAAGATCTTTAGAATATAAATCATGTTGACACCAATCCCACCAAGAAGGATCATGCTAGGTGATTTGGACTTGACAATTTTTATACTTAAGATTTGGACATTTATTTTAAAATTACTACCATTGTCAATTCTAGTTCTTGCAAGGAGTAGGATTTGACTAATTGGATGAGACTTACAACTCTATTTTATAGATAAACAAGCCTAATTGATTGATTTTCAAAAAGGGCTGCCTTCTGTCTACTTGCAAACTAGAATTGCAGATATGGTGACAAGTTTTCAAATTTAAAATCACATTTAATTTATATCTCAACCCCTTGAGAACCAAAGTTTAGAAAACTCACATTTTAATTAATTTTCAAACTCTAGGAGCCTAATATTAAAAACTCAATTTTAGAATATTTTCAAGTCTTATGAGTCTAAATGTAAAAATCCGATTTCAAATATTTTCAAGCCCTTAGAGCAAATTTGAAAATGTCAAGTTAAATTGATTTTTGAATCTTAGGAGCCGGTTTTAAAATGTCCAAAATTTTAAATAATTTTGCATTTTTTATTAATTTAAAATATTGAGCTATTTCAAATTTGAATAGTCAAAAGATCTTGATTTATTGGCAAGTCCAAATCACCTAAAATTTAGGCTGTCTCCCGACATCAACCAGTGTTAAAGGGCATCGGCAACATGCCAGTCTTCTCAACTGTCGTAAAAGACTCGCTGGAAAGTATTGTGAGACACTGAGGCCCAGGAACAAAAATAGATATATTTAACCTACGGTCTTAAAAGACGCTATAAATTTTTAATGTACCTACAAAAAAGGGTCAAATCACAAGCAAATATTTCCCTGAGCAACACTTTACTTTTCCTGAATGGTATTTAATTTCCAAGAACGAGTACTAGCATTTCCCAGGACAGGTATATAAATCCCCTACTTTTAACCGAGTCAATTTCCCCGAAAGTTACTTATTTCCCAAGGATGGATACTCAAGCTTCCTCGAATGAATATTTTAAAAAACATTACCCTTATTTTCCATTTCATTGTAACTTTTCCAGAGAGTGGTGACGACAATCGACGGAGTCGAAACGACAACGACGAAACAACATAATAAAATAAATAAATAAAAGAAATACAACACAGATTTTTTCTTCTTTTCTTTTCTTATCTTTTTTTTAAACAATATACAATATATAACGATAATAGTAAGAAAATGCTCTGTTTGGACTTGGGTTGGTGCTCGGGCTCGAATAGAAAGGTGAAGGTCGTTGGGTTCGGGCTTATGTGGAAAGGTAAGGAAGAGCAGTTGCAGGCTTTGATTGGAATAGAAAGTCTCCGGCTTCGAGTTAAAGCAGAGAGAATTGCACATGGTTCAATTAAATTAATATGAGTCTTGGTTATACCTTTTCCAAGAACCGGACATTTGGTCACCCCTAATACCATCCATCCAGACATACATACATACATACAGACAGACAGACAGACAGACAGACAGAGACGACAGACACACACACACACACACACACACATATAACTATATGAATTTTATATCAAAATTTAAAATTTAAAATTATTAAAGATGTTACTTGTGTTCAAGTTTTGTTTATTTTATCACATATTTATCATATATTCACGTTATTTTAAAATTTAAATTATAATAAAATAATTTTAATAATTATTATGTCGTCCAGTTCAATCACTTGTTCAGCCTTTGAGCATTAAACCTCTCATTTTTCTAGTTCAATGATCGGTCTGGTTTTCACAATATTTCCTCTAAACCAATAGACTTCAAGCTAGCAAAAGCTAACACATAAAAGAAAAATCAAACATAAATGAATGGATATCTATTTTCATAAAAAAGAAAAGACAATTAAAGATATCAAAACAACCCACAACAATAAAATAATCCATATGAATTAAATTTCGTATAAAAGAGATGAAAAAATAGAATTTGGATCATATTTACCATTATTGGAATGCATTTTCCAAGACATACTTGACGTAGTTTGTCAAGATCACGTAAAGCTTCTCTGCACTCTTCCCTATCATCAATGTGCACTCTTTTGTCTCCTTCTAGTTGATAGGTTTCATGGCCTCTGCCTGCAACAACCTGCCGTTTAGTTCTAGAGTCAGTAAGGAGAAAACATTCGGGAAGACTACAATTAAGACGAAAATCAATTTGAGACAATGTTAGCAATGGTAGCAAAAGGGTTCTCTAAGAAAAAGGGTCAACATTCCTCACAACAAAATAAGAGTAATGCCAAAATCAGAGAAAATTAAAACAGATAATGAACTTCAGAGCAAGAAAAAGAACATGAAAAACAAAGTTTTTTTCTTAATAGATAATAGGGAAATTTCCATATCTAACAGAAATCTTATGCAGTTAAATATATAACACCTAAAGTTTCATGTTAACATTTATAGCACTTTGGTGTTGAAAATATGCATTAAAAGGTGTATTTCACTTCAAAAAATTTAGTGATAGTGATATTTTTCATTTGATGCCAAAGATCTAAGTGTCACGTATGTAAATATGAAAGTTTAGATGTCAGATATATAAATATACAAGAATTGTGTGGCATGTCCAAGAATTGTGTGGCATGTCCAAGAATTGTGTGGCATGTATGTAAACGACCCCTACATAATTTCCATCAGTTTCACCAAATGATCCGAGACAGTCGTAAACAGACGCAAACACTTTCTAAACATTCTTGACAATTGGCAAAGCACTGTGGCCAAGATTCAGTTCATAGTTACTTTTGACTCCAATAAAGCAATCAGATCCTTGAATAGCCCATGTTCCTACACACAACTCATGATCAAGCTAGTTGTATCAAAGTCAAAAGAACAAAATAAAGGGACCACAGATAAGCATGGGCTCTGAAAAGCCGTGCCTGCTCATTTGGGGGAGTTTTTATTCTCGATCAAACTTTTATGTTATAGATTAGATTCTAGATAAGACATTATCCTGATATTTCACTCTAATTTTATCAAGACTTTATGATATTATTAAAGAATTTCAGGCGGAAGCCCCTCTATCCATTATTCCTCCTGATCAAGAAGTTTTCAATTAAGTCTGATCATTACATGCTAAATATTTGGCATATAGTAGCAGAAGTTTTAGTTTCAGAATCAAGAAAAACCACCACTGCTAATTTAGAGCAGATATTGAGGGGAATGATGACAAATTTGATCAAATCTTATAGTTTCATCAATCTGCATTTTCATCGGTCCTGATCTACTTAATTGGAAGATGCAGTTGACACATATTGGTTGAAACATTCTTGTCGGTCGTCACGAGTTGCGTCGTCCAGTGGAATCTTATAAACTTCAGCTGAATGTTTCTTTAAGACAATTTTAATTTGATCTGAGCAAACAAGGAGCTTTATGTCATATCCAGTGCACTCCATGATTAACTGCTTGGGGATTAAAGCTATTGGAGAACTTAGGATTATGATTGTGACCAAAACTTCATGACGCTATGCTGCGACGGATCTCCAAGTCAAAAGGCCCCAGTTATAACCTTACTTTTTTTTTCATGCCATTTAGGGAAAAAATGGTCCAAGATTACATGGCACGTCCATATTGACATAAGATTTTTTTTTGCGTAATTATAGAATGCACTTGATATGACATTGCTTACTTAAATTTAAATTAAATTTATCACAATAAATACTTAGTGAATGGAATATTACTTCAAGATTAAGACAATTTCAACTGAGTTTAGACTTGAAATAATTTGCATAAGACTTGGGACGCATTTTGATGTTAGTATCCTCTCTAATTAAGATTTGGCTTGATACTCCAATCATCTGAGTTTAGGCCAGAAATATTATATAACTAATGCAATGTGATGACGTGACAAAATGCTAGTATTATGCATAAAACTTAACTTGCAAAATTCACTTAGTTGCAAGCTATTTAGTACAGTTAAGTATTCACCAAAGAAGATTCCCTAAGATAAATGAAGCAGGGCTCATCTTGGCTGAACTAGTTGGGGAAGGCTAAACCGGTTCAGCTAAGGGGTGCAAGGAACGGCTGGCCCGTTAACTGGGTAGGGTTGCCCCCCTCCTAGTTATCTACTATTATATATATATA